ACCTAAATATATATTAACAAAAAAAAGTATGCAACTAATAGAATAAGTCTAGAAAACTTGCTTTTTTTTTCTTTTTTAATAATTAAAAACGATTAATTATATCATCATAGAACAGAAAATTGGGAAGTAAAAAAATCCGTAAACGATAAAGCGAATCATTGGCAGAGATAGGACTTCATTCCTTCATCCAACATAAGATTGGTTCGTACTCGTTATTAAAAAGACATTAAAGGAAAGTAAAACTTATTCAATATTGATGAAACCTTTTCTACTTATCTACTTACGGAAAAAAAAAGTAACCCCAAAGTCTACACTCCTTATAGCAATCCTTTCAGCTTTATGAAAACGCATTATTTATTCAAGCGTCTTTTAAACTTCACAAAAATAAGCATAGGCAACTTTGCTACCCTTACAACTTTTATTTGTATTTCCTTTGAATTACAGACTCAAACTAACATGGCAGTACACAAGGAAGAAAAAGGCATTATACTCTCCTTAAGTTCTCACGCTGAAATTGCATTCAATTAAATATCTAAGCCACTAAACAAGCATAAATACTAATAGTAAATCATAAACTTTAGAAATGCAGAAGCGGTATAAATCACGTATGAATGCGTACAACAAAATCATTACAAACTTGTATAATGAATAGTTAAAATTCTTACAAAGTGTAAAGCGTAGGGAATGAGATTTAATTAGAATGAAAAGGTAGAACGATCATGCAGTATTTTCCGCCTTTGAGATTGTTCAGGGTATAAAATTCACAGAGTTGAAAAGACTTTCCACCCTATTGCATATTTATCACTTTTTGATCTAAAGATAAAAAAACATAAGCCCTGATAAGCACTGCACATTATCGGAACCCTTTTAGAACAACAATGTCAAAATATCCTAGCACGTTTTTTTTTGTAACACATCATGATGTGGAAATAAAATATGGACAAATCGGCAAGTAATAGAAAAAAGCGACCGCACAGGACATACATCAAAGTATATTAAGACGACAGATAAATACATATCTATATTAAAGGAGGAGGATCTTCATTATTTTTCAAATATTAAACAAACGCACATAATAATACAGACAATCAAAAAAGTAAAAATAATACCTGCAGTCCTCGTCCTCTGTTCTATTACACCTACTCATCCTTTTTTTACTTCTCCATCTAAAATGATTACGATATTGTGTAAGTCAACAATAATAGAATTCCGATCGCAGTTGTTTATATATGTTAAGTGTTATAACATAGATTTGCTTCTTTGAATCAGTTTGATACCCGATTTAAAAAACATCAACAGGCATTCCTTTAAACAATTTTCACCTTCCTACCTACCTATCTACCTACCTACCCCACCTATTGTTCATCATAGAAGTTAGAACATCGAAAAAAAAATTTTCAAAAGCTTAATTATTATTCGTATAGTTTCAGGATCCCGAATGTGGATATTATTATTATTTTCTTTTTTAGTGAGTGTAAGAAAAATTACTTTATATCTCTCAATAAATCACAATTACTCGATTAATCTTTATAAAGCCTGTCGACGTAAGCATCAGGTTTGGGTCTCTTTTTCCCAACACTTCCCTGTGAGTGTTTTGGGGGCGCACCAATGCTGTAGCTCACATTACTACTCTTTTTACTACCATGATTGGGGAAACCTCTTAATGGTGCAGTAGAAAAACACACCCCAGAGTTCGCAACTAGTTCCTGATAAGGTTGAGATTCAATCCCATCATTGGCACTGCGGTGGGTGTACTTTGAGGACGAAAAAGTAAACGATCCATCCTCAGAATGGTGATAAGGTTCGCGCTTCTGGCAAGCCACAAAGTTGAAGCAACTCATATGGCTACTACCACTTCCTTCAGGATAATTAGTGGGTTGGCCTTCGTCGTTACGATCGCCGTACCTTGATTGGCAAGCCGTCAGATTAAACGAGATGGACTGCTTTCGCTGGAATGGAAAGGTCTCCTCGTTCAGCGATGGGTTACGCCAACTCGAGCACCGCATGTGGGGCCCATTTCCGCTCCCACTGCTGGAATTGGTGCCTGACGTCGATGAAGGCGCCTCCGTGGCGACGCTGCTGGCGGCCTGAGCTTTTTGCTGGATCTTATGCCGGCTGCTGACGTAGTAGTAGGGCTGAGCGTTGACGTTGATGCCGCTCCCAGGGGTCGTGGACTGCCGAGAGGAGTGCAAAAGGCTGTTCGCCGTGGAGGTGGACTCCGCGAGCTCCTGAACGCGTTCGAGAATGCCGGACATCCCCGTCGAGGAGTTCGTAGCGGTGGTGGGGTGGTTGCCATTATGACTGAGGTCAGTCGTCGTGGATTGCGGTTCACTCAAGACCGGAGCCGTGGAGAAGCCCCGGTCATCCTTGGCATCGAGCGCAATCGGTGACAGCCAACACGACTTTTCCGAGCGGCGCTTCAAAAGCTTAGCGTTATCCTCCTCTCGGTACCGCCTCCATCTCTCCTCCTCCGCATCCCGATCCCGCTGCTCAATGATCACCTGTTGTTGATTCTTTCGCAAAGTACTTTCGGCAAGTTCACTCAGCCAAGGTTCCACTCGTGTTTTCCAATGATGGCGTCGGTAGGCGCCTAACGCACGGGCGCGCACCGCAGATTGAGAGTCTTCCTGAGTTTCAAAACCCTCGGGAGACCCTTCCACGCTCTCTGGACCATGCGTCGGTGTATCAATTTGATCTTCTTCCAAATTGTACGCATCAATCTCGTGTGGATGGGCAACCTGAAAGGCTGTGACCTCCTCTCGTGTCGGCGTCCTTATAAGTTCACCTAGTAACTTGCACATCTCTGCATACTCAACCTCGGAGATGTGCATTTCCCAATTCATTTTTTCAAGAAAAAGCAGCTCCAACTTACACATCTCCCTCGCCCTGATACCACCAATCTTGCCATAGTACGCGTTGTTAAAGTAGGTGTCGTCTCGTATTTTAATGCCCAGGACAATCCCGGTTATTAAAAGACGATGAGCGTTGTAGACGGTGATTCGGTGGCCGCTGTGAAAAGTGTACTTCAGGAGCAGCATAAAACCAAACAGCAGGGCTTCGGCGGTGCAATTGCAATACCGCACAATTCGCTCCACGTACGACTTCACTGACATCGGCGGGAGACAATGGGAATGGAAATCGCTTGAAGGAATGGGTCCGCCCTGGTTGAGATTACAAATGTAACTCACGAACCGCGTGATACCAAACCGTGCGAACTGCAGATCTGTCAGCTGAAGTACGACTGCTGGGGAGGAGCATAAGGTTGTGGTTGTGGGGGGAGTACCACCGAACTCAGTTGCCTGCCCGTTTTCCAGCGGATTCCCCTGCATTTGGCTCGACCCACTGCTCGTGAGCTCGCTTCGAGTCTCTTCCGGGACCTCCGTGGTCGTCCGATCCGACGGCGGCGAGGTGGTGTTCACCGAGGAGACTAATCGCCCCCGGTACCCCCCCGTGAGGTGCCGTAGCGCCGGCCGCGAGCGCCGCGTCGACGAAACGGGCTGCGCCTCCTCCGAGGGGCCGACGTGTTGGGGATCCTGCGCGTCCAGGGCGTCGTCTTTGTCCATCTCCCCCCGCCCTTCCTCCTCGTCTTCCGTCGACTTTGCCTGTTCCTGGGGCGCCGTCCCCGGCTTGTCCGCGTCAGCGCCGGGATCGCGATGGAGGTGTGGCTGCAGCAGCTCCACCACGGGCGGGTTGAGGGGCCGCAGGGGCAGCCCGAGCCTCCCCTTTCCTGTGGC